GAGATACACTTTGCTTATATATCAGTGAACTGAATCATAGTGAATTTATTTATCTTAAAGAATTGCTTATTTCATTGCAGTGACTTGGGTGGTATATAGAGATTAAAAATTATCAGAAATTTATACCAACATCCCAAAATAAAATCAGAACATCAATAGAGCTCACCTAAATGCCTATTTCAAAAGCCTGACCAAATATATTGGCCACCAAATGGAATGGAAGGGAGAGAAAGAGGACGGAAATTCTATCCTATAGACATATGTTCATGATTTGTTTCAGAGAATCTCAGAAGAACTTACAAGAAAAGTAGAGAACAAAAGAAAACCTATTAACAAATTAACAGAGTTGGAAGGGACCTTGTGGGTCATCTAGTCCACCCCCAGTCCAAGCAGGAGATCCTATACCATTTCTGACAGATGGCCGTCCAGTCTCTTTTTGAAAGCTTCCAATAATGAAGCTTCCACAACTTCTGAAGGAAAGTTGTTTCATTGGTTGATTGCTCTGTCAGATAATTTCTCCTTATTTCTAGGTTGAATCTCCTTTCCGTCAGCTTTCTAATCATCTTGGTTGCTCTTCTCTGCACTCTTTCTAGAGTCTCAACATCTTTTTATTGTGTGATGATCAAAACTGGATGCAGTATTCTAGGTGTGGTCTTACTAAAGCTTTATAGAGTGGTATTAGCACCTGACTTGATCTTGATTGTATCCCTCTATCAATACAATTTAGGATTGCATTGGTTTTTTGGCTGCTGCCACACACTGTTAGCTCATATTTAATTGGTTGCTTACTAATATTCCAAAATCCCTCTCACAGCTACTAAACCTGGTTTCACTTAGTTTATATGTGTACATTTGGTTTTTCTTGCCTAAGTGTAAGACTTTATTCTTCTCTACATTGAATTTCATATTTTTAGATAGGGCCCATTCCTATAGGGTCCTTGGCTATTCCTGCCAGCTTATTATCATCCACAAATTTGGTAAGTTCCCCTTCTAATCCCTCATCTAAGTCATTTATGAAGATATTGAAGAGTACTGGCCCTAAGATGGAATCTTGTGGTACCCCACTGCTTACTTCCCTCCATGTAGATGTATCATTAAGGACTACCCGTTGAGTACAGTTTTTCAGTCATCTACAAATACATCCGATGGGGATGCTATTTATCCCACTTTTTTCTAGCTTACCAAGAAGTAGGTTGCAATCTACTTTGTCAAATGCCTTGCTGAAATCTAAATATCTTATGTCCACAGTATTTTTCTGACCTACTAATTTAGTCACTATGTTGAAGAATGAAATAAGATTGGTTTGGCATGATCTGCTTTTAACAAACCCATTCTGACTTCTAGTTATTATTTTACTTGTTTCTAGATGTTAGCAGATCTTTTTAAATTATCTTTTCCAGTATCTTCCCTGGTATTGATGTTAGGCAATATTATGAGTACATTATGTAATCTGAAGGCATTAGTAGAAAATAGTGAAATGCATGATAATGTTTCATTAGTTTTCTGATCTGTGATACTTACATACAATTTAATTAGTTTAAAATTACTGTGAAATTTTATACTGGTTCTGTAAGACAAACTGTGATAGGAAGTATTGAAGCAGGAAGTACCAGCCTAATTAATATGCAAACATTAACTTTTTTTGTAAAAGAACTACTAAAATGTTCATAATCTACTTGATTTAAGCATTTTTTAAAATTACAAGGTTACAGCTCGTTCTATTGTGAAAATCACTTTTAATAATTAGAATGTTGTTGCACTCTATTAGGAAATCACATTGCTGAGTTTAAGTCTTTGACACAAATTATGTCAGTATCTCAGCAGCTGGATATGCAGTACCAAGTATTATTGTTATAAATTTTGAATCCATAATGCTCATTGAAATTTGTGACCAATTCAATTAAAAGCTACTGTTTAATATTAGATATGTTGCTGGTTTTGAGATTAAAGCCTTTTTTAAAGAAATAAGATCTGACAAATAGTATCACTTTCTGTAGTTCAACATCAAAAAACCAGACAATACAGTTCAGTTTGAAGCATTTATCCTTGAAAGTGTAAAACCTGGCATGAAGCGATCAACAATCAAAGAAGCAAAACGAAGTGCTAACTGCAGTTTATCCCTTCACCCTTAAGTATGTGCATGTATCCCACCCCCTGGCGTCCCCTAACCTGGTGTTTTAGAGATATTTATTTACCAGATTCCTTCATTCTAATGTACTTGAAAAATTCTTAAATATTCAGGGAGATATTCAGAGCTGTTTCTACCTTGAAAATAGCCTATATTGGACTGTATAGCCCAGTCAAACAATAAGAGTTGGCCACAAGAAATATGATATTTCTTTATTATAGTAATAAAATGCTTTATGAAATTTGCTAGATTTCAATTCCATAGGAGTCACGGATTTCGATTTTTAGATGCATTGGTTACGTTAGCCTATTTCAAGTTTTGTCTTACACAAAAAAATATTTCTTTTTTAAAGATTCAAAAAAGAGAGTTTTCATAATATATAGATCAGTAATGTAAGCCATAATGCAAAGCCATGTATATAGTAGAGGATCTGATTTAAGAATGAAATTTATCATTAAAACAATTATGCCATTGTCTAATATAATATTTGATCCTATACAAAATGAAATAAAATTCAAAATAAATCAGTGATGGCATCAATACAGGATTGCATTCAAAGAGAAACTTAATTTGTTCCGCATAATTATTAGTTATATATATCTAATTATATAGTTTTATGGTGTATTGGAGTATAGGAAGGGAACTACACTGAGACAGTTTTGCCATTGAAAGACCAGACCAGAAACCTCTGCTGGGACAAAGTTACCATTAAAAGCTAGACCAGAAATCAAATAGATAATAAACTACACTCAAATGCAAACTTTATCCTACAAATACCCCAAGCTAAAGAAAGTAAAGCTCTAAGCATATTAGAATAAAAAAAAACATTGAAAATTGCTATAAAACAAAATATCCAAAAGAAAGAAACCAAATTCAAGTGATTAGAGCTTTAGGCACATTAGAAAGGAAAGCATTTATAAAATATCAGAACCATTACAGTGTACAAAAGATCTATTAAGAAACAAGACATGAAGGAATTAAATCACGATGGAGAGAAACAAACCTGAGGCGTGGGACATTGCAAAAGAAACAAACACAAAAGATTAACTTAGTTTTTGCAACATCCTGGGCTTTCTATTCACATTTAGCTAACACAAAAAATTAATTACAAAGAACAAACATTATCCAAGGGCTAAAAAGGAAGGGTGGATTATAAAAAAACAAATCAAGCACATTCAACACACGGCAGCATTCACTCACTTTCCTCCCCACAGAGATTACCCTCAGGGTGGAAAGACACAGTCACCAGAAGGATTAAAGCCAGTAACACAATCACAAACACAAAACCCTAAAGATCAACTTTAGAGGGAGAAAAGGGTATAAAAAGGTATACTTGTAGTTTAGAAAACACCCCCACCCACCCACCCACCTCACCCCCGTGAACGTTGATCTTGCCACTCACTTGCCTTCCTGAGAACAATAAATTAGTTCCAGCTTTCACACAGCTCGCTTCAAATCCTTCCATCCTGCGTCTTCCCAGCTGGGAAATTCAAACCTGCGAAAGAGAAAGGCATTATCTTTCAACAGTGTGTGTATGTGTGTTTGTGTGTATATACATATACAGTGTGTGTGTGTGTGTGTGTGTATATATATATATCTATCTGTCTATATCTCTCTATATAACTATATATATCTATCTATGTAGACACACACATATATATATATATGCACACACACACATATACAATATGATATTTTATTTTCAATCAATTAAGTGAAGATTTTTAATGGGATTATAAATAATTGCTGAAAATGAAAAATAGGTCATGTAGACAGATAAATTTTAAAAAGATAAGAGCAAATAGTACAAAATGAATATTCATCAATAGATGTGGCATAAGCCAGGTTTCTAAGGTCTGAATGAAAGTGAAGGAAATTAATAATATAAATGTGATGGAGTTGTTTATGGTTCATTGTGTTTCACCCATCCTAGCAAATAGGCTAACTTGATAAAGTGTGGTTCTGGTAATATAGGCTAGTACAGTGATGGTGAATCTTTTTGTTGTGTGCTGAAAGTGCACGCATATGCCAGCACCCACAATGCAATGCGTCCTAGCTGATTTTCGGCTCATTTGAGGCCGTTTTTACCCTCCCCAAGGCTCGAGAGAAGCCTCTGCAGCCTTGGGAGGCCAAAAAATGAGCCCTTCCGAAAATACCAGAAGTGCCCATTTTCAGCCTCCAGAGGGCCTCTGGAGCCCAGGGGAGGCTATTTTTGCCCTCCCAGAGGCTTGAGGGAAACCTTTGGAGCCTTGAGACGCTGAATATAGGCCCATTTTAACACTTCCGGTATTTCCAGAAGGCCCATTTTTCGTCCTCCTGAGGCTGCAGAGGTTTCCCTCAAGCCTTTGGGCGAAAATGGCCTCCCCTGGGTTCCAGAGGCCCTCCGGAGGCTGAAAGTGGGCACTTCCGTTATTTCCAGAAGGCCTGTTTTTTGGCCTCCCAATGTTGCAGAAGCTTCCCTCGAGCCTCCAGGAGGGCAAAAACAGCCTCAAACGGGCCAAAAATCAGCTGGGAACTGCGCGCATGCGCAGTGCAGGTAAGTTTGGCTGGGACATATGTGCTTGCACAAATGGCTCTGCATGCCACCTGTGGCACACGTGCCATAGGTTGACCATCATGAGGTTAGTATGTTCAAATACAGCTATTGATATATTTTATTTGTGGTAGCAGTGAAGGTTGAATATAAGAGAAAATTGCTTCCATAAGGTCTACTACTACACTAGTGTTACAGTAATATAATGGAAAAGAAGTATGTTAAACCTATTCTTAAGTTTGTTATATATTTCACTATATTGAATATTCTTTTTCCTTTTGCAGGTGAATAATCCTTCATGATCAAGAAATTATTAATTTTGTAGATTCAGTATTAATTATTACTGAATCTACCTGAGCTACTTTGATTCTATGGAATAATGCTGAAATTCCAGGAAACAGTTAAGCATGGTACATCATTTATACCTATTTCTATCCACTCAAAAACACTGATTGCAGGAAGATACAATATTTATCAAAAACTTGGACGTGGAAGTTTTGGAACAGTTTATCTGGTTTCTGACAAGAAAGCAAAAGAAGAACAGTTGTAAGTGTTGCCTAAAATGACTTAAAACTGCTAATATACATTTTTGCTTAAATGAGAGAAAAAGATAGAATGGAATAATATTTATTTATAAACAATATTTAGTCAATTATCACTGGTATTAAGTCTTTGCAGCCATACAGATAAAACTGGTACTGTCTTAAATAACCAGCCAAAATAAAAAATAACCAGCTTCAAAATAGTTATGTCATGAATTATATTAAGACATATATAATTCCAGCATTATACATATTTTGCATGTATTCTTCTGTAATATGTTTCTTCTATGCATAGTTCATTCATTTTTAAAAGATTCAGCTTGATCTTTACTGAATTTGTACATAGTAGCTTACCATTCAGTTTTCTATCTGCTAATAAACTCAGAGGAACTGCTGTGTCTCCTTAGCAACTATTGCAGCCCCAAATTATTTCTGCTTATTTTGAAATAAACTTAACAAATTTCATTTATGTATTTATAAAGTTTTCTGAGGTTGTGGATTTCTCAGAAAGAAATCTTAAGTTCAAAGTGACTAGTGTGATGAAAAAGTTAATTGTGTGTGCCATATTTACTATAAACAACAGCCCCCAACTGTAGCACCAGTGTGCGTGTGCATGGTTTCACATACTACCTACATTTCTCATATGCAGATGAAGCTTTGGTTGCTTGCCCTGAGCAGTTCCTAACAGGCTGTGGACCGGGACCGATCCCCAACCAGTGTCTGGAGACCCTTGACTAAAAACTAAACTCTCCCTTAGAAATACAGGTAGTTCTTGATTTACAACAGTTCATTTAGTTACAGGTCAAAATTACAATGTCACTGAAAAAGTGACTTATGAACATTTTTCACACTTATGATCATTGCAGCATCCCCATGGTCACATGATCAAAATTAAGGTGCTTGGCAGCTGGCTGATATTTATGATGGTACCTGAGTCCAGAGGTCATGTGCTCATCTTTTGTATACTTCTGAGAAGCAAAGTCAATGGGGAAACCAGTTTCACTTAACAACCGTGTTACTAATTTACCACTGCAGTGATTCACTTAGCAACTGTAGCAAGAAAAGTCATAAAATGGGATAAAACTCACTTAACAAACTTTATAGTACTCCAGTAAATATGAATGTTATACATGTTTATGCTCCTACGGCTGACAGTGATGAGGCTTTAGAGAAGTTATATGAAGATATAAGCAGTGTACTGAAAATCTTAAAAAATAATGATATCACAATACTCATAGGGGACTTCAATGCAAAAGTGGAAGAAGGAAGTGATACTCCTGTAGTTGGAAACTTTGGCTTAGGAACCAGAAATTTTAGAGGTGACAGATTTGTAGACTTCTGCAAGGAACATAGGTATTGTGATGAATACTTCTTTCAAATTACCAAAAAGATGTCTCTATACTTGGAAATCACCAGCAGATACACGACATAATAAAGTAATGAACCAAACTGACTATTTTACAATAAAAAAAATAGAAACTCAGTAAAATCAGTAATGATATTCCCAGGTGCAGATTTCCATCCGATCATAATCTATTACTTGCTGAAGTCCATCTAAAACTAAAAAAGATGAAAAACCCGAATCTTCCTAAACTGAGAATTGACAGTAACTCCATTATTAAACATGGAAATAAGATAAAAGAACTAGAAATTCATTTAAGATAAACCAACAACTTAAATAATAAAGATGTAGAAGTAAATTGGAATACATTTAAAAATGCAATAGTAGAGGAAACAAACTCCAAACAGAGAGGCGGTACCACAAAAAAACAACAGATGAAATTCTTCATCTTATGGATGAAAGAAGCTCTTATAAAAATAAAAACAAAGAAAAATACAATGGATTGCAGACAATAATTAGAAAAATTGAACTGGCAAAAGAAAAGTGGTTTGCAAAGAGATGCAAAGAAATAGAAGAGACAGAACATATGATCATTTCAACTTACACAAAAAAGTGAAAGCAGCGGGACTTTACAAAAAGAAAACCACCAACAACTTAGTTGACAAGGAAGGGAAAATTATATTAAATGAAGGTGAAAAACTAATATGATGGAAAAAATATATTGAATAATTTTTTGAGGACACTAGAGGTGATATTGATATAGGAATCATAACAACTGGACCAAACATCATTATGGAGGAGGTTGAACATGCAATAAAAATAGTGAAAACAAGAAAAGCCACAGGTCCTGATGATATTCCAGTAGAAATTTTTACTGGGAAAATTTTTTTTTTTTACTGCAGCTCTTCAATCAAATATATGAAACAGGAAAGATACAAGTGATTGGCTAAAGTCAACTTTGTGACAATCCCCCCAAAAATAAATGCAAAGAAATGTACTGAATACAGAACAATAAGCTTAACAAGTCATGCCCTGAAAATATTCCTGAGAATAATTGATACAAGAATTTACAAAAAAAATGAGGACCATCTAAATAATAAACAATTTGGTTTCAGAAACAATCTTGGTACACAAGAGGGCCTATTCAGCATTCAAGTTCTTGCACAGCATTGTAGAGCTGTCAATCTCAGGGTTTACATGCGCTTCATTGATTTTGAAAAAGCATTTGATAAAAGAAGACACAACAAACTATTACAAATCCTGAAACAAGTGGGACTAGGTGACAAAGACATCCAGATCATAAAGAATCTATATTGTGAGACGAGACTGAAAATACTTAGATGATGCAGAAATGCAAAGAGGAGTGAGACAGGGCTGCATTCTGTCTCCACTATTGTTTAATATCTACTCTGAATTAATTTTTAATGAAGCATTAAAAAACATAGTTGCTAGCCTTAAATAAACGGCATTTGTATCAACAATTTAAGATATGCTGATGACGCAGTTCTGCTTGCCAGTCTTCTGACCCAGGCTTCATCAAACTTAATAAAACACAAGCTGAATTTAAAAGTAAAACTTTTTTAATGTGATGCTGGGAATTACTTGAATTCCCAGCCAAAACTCATTATACACAGTTCCTCCAGATAAGAGCACGCTTTTCAGTGCTGTCGAATGCTGCCAAGAAACAGACGTTCAATTAAGGCTAACATAAACCAACCCAAAAACCTAGAAAAAACTTGGAGATTATTCAACTGCTTTGCTTCCTGCAAAGCTCTTTGTCATTGAGGACTGACTTTTATCCCTTATGGGAAGGGCAATCCCTACTCTCAAGTTGCCCCTTCTGCTTTAGCTGCTCTCACTTTCTAGCAGCTCTGTGCACAGGGGCAGAGGGGGAGGCCAAGCAGCTGACGGAATGGCAGTGTGGATCCGTTAGCTGGGGAAGAAACTGGGGAAGGGTACAATCCGGCTGGGCAGAGCAGGGGAGAGGTAGAGCAAGGGAGAGGGAATTTGGAGGAAGACCCAGGCCCACCCCCTCTTCATCCTAGGGCACACAGGGAGGAATGGAGAAGGGAGCAACGTGAGTTGCATGGCTTATGGTGGAGGAAAGGGCCCTGATTCCCTTCATTAGCTGCAGCTGGGAACATAGTGTTTAAAAAGGAAAGCTGCGCACAGCAACTTATTGGAAGCAAATCATGAGTTATTGTCATATGTTATTGTCGAGGCTTATCTGGGCTCCTGGTGTCTTCCCAACTGTGTGTGTTTTGTTGGCCTTTCAAGTCTGCAATTCCTTATCCTGCCCTGTCAAGTTAATTGCTGCAGCGTGATTTGTGTGGATTTTTATTTACAGTTTGTATTTACTTTGTTTTTGGACTGAATTTCTTCCACTTAAACACTGGAGATTTTTCTCTCCAGCCGAAGGTAACCTGGACATTGGTGGCAAAGTTGGAGTATTAAAGGGACTTTTCTTACTTATGTGACTGTATTGCCTTTGTGCCATGAACATGATCACTGCAGTAAAACCAAGGATAGAGAAAGCTCGAACAGCATTTTTCAAAATGAGAAAGGTCTTCTGCAGTCATGACATTGAAGAAATCAGGCTTGTCAGATGTTACATCTTTTCTATCCTGCTCTATGGAGTGGTCTCTGACAGAAAGTCAAAGCAGACTAGAAGCATTTGAAATGTGGATTTACAGGCAGCTGTTATGTATAAGTTGGGTTGATAAAATCAGAAATGAGGAGGTGATAAGCTACTTGGGAAAGCCAAGGGAAATCATCAAAACCATAAAAAAGCGAAAGTTAGAATATTTTGGACATGTGATGTGACACCCAGTAAAATACAGCATACTTCGCTTAATTCTCCAGGAAAAGAATGAAAGAAAAAAAGGACCAGGCAGAAGAAGAACATCATGGCTTCAAAATCTAAGGGACTGGTTTGGACAAAACTCAACAGAAAGTTTTTCATGTGGCAGTTGTTAAAAATAGAATCACTAACAAGATCGCCAATGTCTGATGACAGATATGGCACAAGAATAATAATAAATGTTTAATTTAGCAACAGAAGTTTTGGGCTCAATTGTAGTTATAAGTTGAGGGCTGCCTGTATTTAGAAAAAAGATAAAAATGAATTGCCAGATCTTGTGCTTTTATCTAAATCTATTGTGCATGCTTCTCTTAGAATGCCATTTATTCTTCTAATTGATACAGTTCATCAATGATATTATAAAGTTGGAGAAAATACAACAAAGTTGATTGCTAAATTGGTTCAATTTCCCTATGGAACAAGTACAACATCTAGAATAATTATATTAAAAAACAGTATGCAAGAATAGAGATATTTATAAAATTATACATGGTTTATATAAAGTGTTCTGCCTCAAACAATATAAATGCATAATGAAACTGAACAAGAGACATAGAAATCTGAAGAAAGGACTTCCTTAACAACATAGCCTGATATATTCATTTAATTACAGTATATATTTTAATTTTAAATTTTACGGATAGTTTTCTTCATGCATCTAAAAGAGCTAGTTGGTGTAGAGGTCAAGGCATCAGGCTAAATATTGAGGAATTCTGGAGTTCTAGTATTTCCTTTGGTACAAAGGAAGCTGGGTAACCATTGGCCAATCTTTCTCACTCAGTCCTAAAAAGAAGGCAATGGC